GCTGCTGATCGTAAAGTACGACGGTTTTCTTCATTCTTGATCAGGATTGGCTTGCAAAATATTGGGTAACTACTCAGGGTGGAGTGCGAATCGACATGAAACTTATTAATCGCACCGTAAACGTGACTCTCACGAAATTGTCGCCTCTTTCCGCTCATAAAGGTTTGCTGGATCCCGTTTGGAACCTGACCGGATACGCGCCGTTCGCAATGGGTCGACCGTTTTCCTTGCTCGTCATATTATTGACAATCGCACGAAGTCTCTAGCGATGTTTACAGGTAGGATACGCGACCGAGTAAATTAATTCCTTTTGAGAGATGTTACACGCGAAGAACTGGTCAAAAATTAAAAAAAAAAAGATCTACGATGATGGGTGCGTGCAGAGTGTGCCAGGGTATCGACACAATAGTAGGTGTTTGGTCGATCGCTTGATCATCACCCGCAGGATTGCAGAGAGTTTCAGATAGCTACAAATATCTATAATGATATATTTCGCCGGACTAGATTGTCGTCAGAAATGAAAAAGCAACACCGAGAGATCGTGCGATTGTTTCAGAAAGGTAATAGGGACAACAGAAACGCCACCGAGATCTTGACGAATAATTCAGTACAACAAAATAGCACGCTGCAATAGCAAAATAACACACTGCATCAATATAAAGTAGAAAAGAAAAAGATTTAGATCAACACAATCGAAAAATTCAGCGCTTCTTGCCGAAAATATAAAATCTCTTGCAGCAATAATATATATAATGTCAAGAAAATGCGAACTTTGTGTTTCTTTAAAGATTAATAAATATGTATTAATATATATGACATTATAACGTAATTTAATATTCTGCAAAAAAAGATATTTTAAACGAACAAAAAAGATATGTGTCTCCTTATTTTATGTGCATACATACATTTATGTAAAAGAAGTTTCAACCGATTTAAAAAATACGAGGTCATTTCTCGTCCGATTTGACGTGGAATTGCTTACGTACAATGGAGGACTAAAAAGTTGTTGAGTTTCGGAGATTCCATTTATATTTAATAACTAGTTATTATGTCGGCAATTAATTTAACAATTTTTTTAACATTTTAATATATTTGACATCTCGTTTGTCTGCTCTTATAATAAATCACTGCGTAAGCCGTTTGCATTGGCTCATTGACTTCAAATGACATGCGTTCCAAAACTGACTACTAACGGGCTACGAGCGGATTATCTTACAAGCGCCACTATAAAACTAAATAAAACCGTTTTTACTTCTTCAATGGATATATTGAATTCCGATGTTTGATGTTTAAAATATAAAATAATAATGTAAAATTAATAAGTATCTTTGATTAGCCGGAAAGATATTTTTAACACGTTTTTTTGTTTTTATTGAAAAACACCATTAAAGAGACGGCGAAACGGTATCTTTTTTTTTATGATGACTTTCTCAATAAAAGTGAAATTTCATGGGCAGCAGATCGTACTGATTCGCTACAAAATAGAGAAGTTCTAAAAACTCGAGAACTTCTCTATTTTGCAGCCAATCAGTACGATCTGCTGTTGCTGTTCACTGCCCATGAAATTTCACCTTAAGACTTTCACACATCTTAAACATATTTTTCTTATTGTTAGTGTTATATGTTGTCTGTGTAGTTTTTCCAGTAGAAAACGCTATACGTAACTATATATACCTGCTTGCATCCTTCAAAATCCCCACCCTTTAGCTAGTCTTTCTTTTGCTTTCCAGTAATTTACCTGAATTCTATGGGGTTTGGACTTAACACTTTTTAGGTCCATGTATTTCGTGAGAGTTGGCAGTCTAGTATATAATATAGCTGTAGACTCATATAGAAGTGGTGTGCGCCACAGAACATATACTAAGGTGTGCGCTCACTAACCACGTGTTCCAACATTTTTTCTCTTTTGTGATTTTTTCAATTTATACAGAAAATTTTAAATCTGCCTAGCTGATAAACAGTAAGTAGTATAAAAATCGACAGAAATAAGTTTTTCTGATTAATTTTTTGGTTCAGTTCCGAGTTAAATTTCCGGATAATTTTCTTTATTTACTGTGTGATCCTTAATTAGTTCAACTTATTGTTAGATCGCTATATAACCTAGCTGTATCGAACAATGAGATATAAGATATATTAAATAAATAAGAAAATACATTTTAAAAAATTTTAGTCACTTATTAGAAGCGTGAGCGTGAATGTAGCGAACGTAAGCAATTAAAATTTTGCACTTTTCTTTTATTGGTGCTCGTGCACGCGGTGCGTGTATGCCGTACATATGTTCTACTACAGTATAGTGTTCCACATGATGGAACACTACCACGTGGTGGAATACACTGTAACGTATATCGGAAAATGAGATAAAAGATACCTTTTTTTTAACCCTCCGTGCGCCTGGTTTGGTCTGAGAGACCCACTAAATGTGCTTTTAAAAAAATAACTTCGTAATCGGGAACGTTGACGGCCTAAATGCTGCACTGTTTACATGTCGTGCTCGGACCATTTTTATAATTTTATGAAAACATAAACTAAATAATACACATACTTTCGATAAAAATTTGATATTATGATTATACCAAGATATACTTATTTTCAAACTTTTGAGTTTGTCAGACCCACCAGGCGTACGGAAGGTTAATTAAGTAAGATAAAAAATACATTTCGGAAAATCCTAAACCCATTTTACAATAGCTATAAGAGCTCTAAATCTGACTAACTGCATTCGATTATTATTAAATTGTAAGAGTCTTATTAGTCAATAATTTACTGCTTACGTCTTATTAGGGGAGACCGGGGCTAGAAGTCACGTGAATAAGTTGTCACAATATATCTCACTTAATAGATTGAGTAGAATATTCTTCTTTATAGTGTAGGTTGCTTCTATCGTGTTAGTCGGGTGTACAAAATAGCTCGTTTCAAAAACATCGCATGTGATATTTACGAGCACTTTTAAAAAATTGGAGGTTGTGAGTAAATTTTTCTTGTCTCTATTTTTATTGTTCCGTTGGTTTTTGGAATTACTAGTCGTAATTTCTTTTTGGTCATAAGAAATATTATAGTTTTAGATAAGTTTTCCTGTATTTAGCTAACCGTCATTGCAACATAGTTTATAAATATAATCTTTTTTGTTCAAAATGACCGTTCAGGGTAAGTTGTCTCAAATAAGATGGGATTCAAAGTTTATGAGAATTATTATTCTTTTATTTACTCAAAGTTTATGAAAGTATTACAAAGTTTATTGAGAATTATATTACAAAGTTTATGAAAATTATTAAATTTTCATTTAATTCACACTGCAATATATTATTAAGACCAAACACTGGTACTAACTTTAATAAAATATTAAAACAGAAAATATTTGTCGTATATTTCCTCTGATACATGTTTCCTCTGACATGAAAGATACATGACAATCAATCCAGAGTCATGTGACAACCAACCCTGGGTATGGGATAAGTTGTCACATTTGCGCGGTTTTGCTTAGAATTAAATAACTTTTTTGTGTATATAAGTATATATAAGTTTAATTTTTTTTCTTACACCTAAAGGATGTAGCCACTATAAAGTAGTATATAATATTATAAAATATTGCTAATATTTTCTTAAAATTCAGTATTTCAAAAATGTGACAACTAGCCCCGGTCTCTCCTATACTAAAAAAGAAAAGATTATAATTATCCCTATTTTTTGTCTCCTTTTAGAGAGAAAATATGACAACCCACAATCAATCTTTATATTGCGAGAGTTGTAGTCAATATCCTTATGTCGGCAGAGTATCCGTAGGAGAAGAGGATAAGGTTGACTTCATCAATCAATTTGTAAAGAAAAGATTTGTTACCATGAACCACTGGAATCTTAGCGTATTCTATACTGCCCCTGACATAATAGGGCCACCCAAATTTCAAAACTATGGAGAACTGTTTTATCCATCATGTTCTTTTGAAGGAAAATATGTCGAAGTATGTGTATTTCCTGATATTATCTGTTATTGTCCTCTATACATGGTAATCGCTATCTTTTGTGCTACAAGATTACCTATTATTTAATACATTTTAACCTTTTAATACAGAGAATTGATGGTATCAACATTTCAATATCTCCATGGCAAATATCTCCATGGCAAAACAAAGATTTCATTATTAATGTTGTTAATTTACATACATGGTCGAAAACGACGAGCTATATTGGTATGTAATACTTGAATTGATAAATATAAGATTTTGTTAGAAAAGATACGCTTTTGTTGAGAAGAGAGTATAATTATATTTTCTATTTTACAGATATTGAGTTTCACGAAGCTGTATATCCAGTCAGAGTCTGTATTTACGAAATATATAATCCTGGAAGCATAATTCAAATTTGTGCTCAAGATTCTGATAACAAGGAATGGATTCAGTTGTGGAATGAATCGTCTCAGATTGTGCCGTCGAAATCAAGATTATTTTCTCCACCCTTATCGCATCCGTGCTACTTTAAAACCAAAATGCTCAGACTAGTATTTAAGAAGAGTTCACCTGAATATTACACAAAGATAGATGCTGTAATGCTTATGGGTACATCAGAATTGATCATTTCTAGAAATTCTAACGAGAGTTTAACTAATCTGTTAAAAAGAATTAACTGCATGTACTCTCCACACCATGATGATGTTCATAATTTAACAGCAGATTTGAAAAGTGCACACTTGGATATAGTTCATCTGCAACAGAATTTTCCTGATCATTGCATTATTTGTAAAAGGTATAATAATCGTTGATGTGTTAAGTATAATATTCAATATTTTTTTTTATTTTTTTAATAAAAATTAATTTGTTCTGATGTTATTTGTAGTAATATAAAAAGGATTACTTATAAGAGAAATTTGAAGCACAAAAAGGTATCTCAAGAGGTAATCCCTGGTTATGTGCAACCTCTTGGACAGAAATACTCGCGTCGTATTTTATTAAAAAGTTATTCAAATTATGCCAAGCGTATGAAACTCTCTTCGGATGAACCCAAGGAGCTATCACGTTGCAGTTTGTCTGAGCTTCCTGTAAAGTATTATAAGAAGTTTATTTTTCATAATAATATTTATTGCAATGTCATATCGTGTATTAAAGTTTTATATTTTACTTTTACAGGATGAAATATTACTAATAATATTGAAAAACTTGGATTTTATGACGTTATGCCGCATGAGTTATGTAGATAAGCGCTTCAATAATTTAATACGGGACCCTGAACTCTATACACGTTTAAACATGAAAATTAAGTTTCGCAAAAATATGCGCAATATATTTTGTTGGTTTACAGCTAGATGTAAACATTTGCGACAGTTAGATCTTACAGAAAGCGTATTTGGTGTTAAGGATTTCGTAAACTTTCTTGAGAATTGCGGCAGGAATTTAACGCACTTAAGATTAAGTGACTGCAAATCTGTTAACAGTTATGTTCTACTTAAAATTTCAGAGATATGCAAAAATTTAAAAGGTATTTACGTATACTGTATATGAAGATTGTCAAGATTACGAGTAAATTGCATATATTCAAAACATAGGTATTTTATTTTCAGAATTGGATCTAAGTGGTTGTGAACGTATAAATGACGAAGGATTTTCGTATCTTGAGAGGCTAAATGGTTTGGGAAATTTAAACCTTTGGAATACTTATATAAAAACTCAACGCCTTTGCAAAATACTGCGAAAAAATCCACGGATGCGTGAGTTACATTTGTTGTCTATGAACGGTTTCAACGGTTTAAACATAGACGCAATTGTAATAGAGTTAAGAAATTCGTGTCACAACTTGGAAGTAATATATTTACCGCATAGTTGTAATCTTACATCGCAGGGTTTGTACGCCCTCGCTGACTGTAAGAATTTACGAAAAGTGACATTTCCCCAGTAAGTATGTCTTTTAATTTTCTTGTAAAATACATGTTACCGTTATTTTTATCGAAATTTGTGTGTTTGCTCTTGCATCTCAAATATCTTGAAAAAGTTGCATTAATTTTCTCTTTGCGTTTTCTCTTTGTATTGTGATAATGATAATTGTATGATTTTTGTTGCAGCTTTACACGCCTAATCACTGATGATAGCTTGGACAGATTTCTTTCTTCCATTCAACGTCTGGAAGAAATTTGTTTGCGCTTTGTTGACCTTACTGATCGCAATTTGGAATTGCTAGCGCAGTGCAAAAATTTGAAAATGTTATATTTTTTAAAGGTGGATTATGAAGAACCTGATAAATATTCCGTCATTTTCGAACAATGTCTTAAACTGCAAGAATTTTACTTTCTATGGTGTAAGATTAGCGATGACTTAGTTAATGAATGGAAGGAAAGATATCCGCATGTGTCCGTCTATACGTATTATTAAGATCTCAAAATTTCGGGTACTTAGTTGCAACTCGTCCGTTCGCGTAAAGATACACGGGGCGGTCTCGCGCTGTGCTTGTACTTGGTGCGAGACACTACCGTGTCACTCCCAGTAAGCAAGAAACGTCAAGAAACGTCAAGAAACATTTCAACTACATTGCATTAATGTTAAAACGTTGCTGTAATGTAGTTAAAATGTTTCTTGGTGTTTCTTGCTTACTGGGCTTGATATTAAAAAATATTAAGACAATTTTGAACAAAATTTTATATATAAAAAAAACAAGGCTTAAAGGATTAAAAATCAATTAAAATATTAGGAGCGTAGAGCCATAACAAGATGTCCGTGTTAATAGTTATATATTATAGTTAAAATCTACAGACGTTTTAATCCTTTATGGGACCATCTTCAGTGTCTAATACATTTTTGGTAAATTCGATTGCAGAGTTACAATATTAACGTATAAGTTATGTTGTGAGTACGGCACTGTAAAGAATATAAAAATTTTAAGTCTATTTATAGTCAAACAAAGTAAAAATATATAAAGGTATAAAAATATATCAAGATTTTAAGTCTATTTAAAGTCAAACGAAGTAAGAACGTACATGTATGTATTTTTCTTATGCCGTGAGCCATAATAAACATTTATAGATAAAATATGTGACAAACTGTTCGACCACGAGAGCACGGTACAGCGCATATTATATAGACAGAAGGGAAATGGAAGGGGGAATGAAGAAAGGTGTGGATCTCCCCTATTACCAATTATTGCCGACGTGACGTTGCATGACATCGAGGAAAAGAGCGATTCAAAAGTTACCATTCCATGTGTACCTTTCTTTGGTAGATATGTGGACGATATTATCATGCCCGCTCTACCAGAATGTTTCGATCTTATCTTACATGTATTTAACTCGTTAAATGAGAGATTACAGTTTACGATGGAAATTGGAGAGGGTGATAAGCTTAACTTCCTCGATGTCACACCGTAATGTTAAGGGACGATTTACTGTTAAGGGAATTTACCGACAAATGTATTAGACACTGAAGATGGTCCCATAAAGAACTGAAACGTCTGTAGATTTTAACTATAATATATAACTACTAACACGGACATTTTGTTATGGCTCTACGCTCCTAATATTTTAATTGAAAATTTTACATATAATTAAAAGTTTAATTCTTCTTTTTGATTCAGAGCATTGATCTGTCGACTTCTATTCGATCACCTTCTAATATAATCTAAATGCTCATGTAACATTTACCTCACACATTGCTATCATCTATCGCAATTCATCTATCTTAATCTTGGTAAACATTGTCGAATGGCATTCAAACCGGACAGAACAATCTATAAAAATTTAAATTTAATAATCAATATGTATTTATTTAACTTTAATAAAAGATAAATTATGTACATGAATTACCTTCAGCGTCCCAATTTGTCTGTTTCGATTATTCTTAATCGGCAATAATACATATTTGCACTCATCACCAAGCGCGTATTATTTTATATTGCATGAAAGTTGCATAACTAGAAGGAAAAAGTAGAAACCTAGTTATCAAATATTATATCTCAAAAAAGAAATCTTATAAAAATATGAAATTAAAGATTATATTTATCGCATTCAAAGGGAAAACATAAAATATAAATATAATATTGATTTTTATATAATTCCAATAAAACTGTGAAATTTTGAAATAAAATAGGTCGTTATACTCACCCGACCTTGTCGCACTCTTTAACTTCCCTTTCCTCGAGTAATGGCTCGCTAAGAACAGTAAAAATGATGTTTGGACTTATCGTTTCGGCCAACATGTCGCGCAAACTATCTCTTTGTACGGGATGTGTCACTTATCCAAAATTCTAAAATTACTAAACTGTTGTACTTATTTATGCTGCACGATTTCTAAGTAATATACATTTTTTCTCGTTTATTATAATTTATATCATATTTGAAAACGCGACTTTTTATTGGCGGTCAAGAGAATATTTGCTTCTTACATACATATAACAAAGAGATATATTTTTCTTATAATTGTAGATTATTTCTTGAACCCCTGTTTATATTTTTTTTACATTGCATTTAATATTCTGCAAAAGAAAATATTTTGAAGAAACAAAAAATACGTATCTCCTTATTTTATGTATAGGTATTTCATATAAAAAACAGTTTCAACTGATTTAAAAAGTATACGAGGTCATTCCTCGTCCGATTAACATGGAATTGCCCATGTATAATCGAGGACCAAACGGTTGTCCGGTTAAGTTTTGGAGATACTATTTATATTTAATATCTAGCTATTATGTCAGCAATTACCAATTTCTTTAACATTTCAATATATTTGACATCTCGTTTGTCTGCTTTTATAATAAATCGCTGCGTAAGCCCCGTGCATTATATTATAGTGCTCATCCACTTCCAAATGGGATGCGTTCCAAAACTCAACCGGACAACTTTTTAGTCGACTGTAGGTATATGTACATCCATAATAGACGTACGATTTGTTAATAGGAAAGTTAAAAAAGTAATTTTAGTGACAAATTAATGTTCCTAAAAATAGACATCTTATACATTATTTCCTATAGAACAAAACTTATTTTGTACTCCCAAAAATTGTCTAAAACTTAATTATTTGAAATTATCTAATATTTAGAGGTGCTAATAAAACTTAAATATTAAAACATTTTAGAAACATTAGGTATATGTACAAAATTGAAAGAAATTAAAAATGGCTGCGTTCAGCAGAGAAAGCTGCTTTGCAACTGTTGTAAAATTCGTGAATTTGATTGGTGTATTATACTTTTAGTTCGGTATACTCCGGTAGAAATTAAAAAAATCATACATCAATCAGATTCCTATGCAACAGTTACAAAGCAGCTTTCTCTGCTGAACGCAGCCAGTAACTATAGTAAACGGACTACAAGCGGATTATCTTGCAAGCACAATAAAACTGAATAAAACAGTTTTTACTTTTTCGATCGTTATATTGAGTTTTAATATTTACTACAAATATAAAATAATAATATAAAATAATAACTGTTTTTAATTGGCTGGGAAGATATTTTTAATACGTTTTTTGTCCTTATTGAAATACATTATAAAAAAGATAACGAAACGGTATCTTTTATATAATAACTTTTTCAATAAAATAAAAAGATATCCTTCACACACCTTTTTGCTTTGTCAAAAAGATAACTTAAGAAAGACATCTCTTTTTCGTTATCTTTTAATGTTATGTGCTGTCTGTGTAGTTTTCGCGATAGACGTTATATGTAGGTACCTATATCCGTAATTTGCTTACGTCCTTTTATAGAAGATATCCCATCCTCTAGCTAGTCTTTTCTTCGCTTTTCTGTAATTTACCTGAATTCTCAGATTTGGACGTAAAGCTTAATGCTGCAGCACTGATATACTGCTTCCGATAGGTTGAAAATCTATTGCCTGTGTTATTCCCTGTTCCTATTGGCTGTGTTTTTCATCGTGCAACCAGCTTATTAACACTTTTCAGATCTATATATGTGTTGCAGTTAGGGAGTTAGCAGTCTAGTTGTATAGTATATGATATAGATGTAGATCCAAATAGAAGTAGCGTTCGCTGTTGTGCGTTTACTAACCGCATGTTCCAACATTTCTTCTCTTTCATGATTTTTTCATTTTACACGGAAAAGAACATATCTGCGTTGCTGATAACAGTAAGTAGTATAAAAATCGATAGAAATTAGTTTTTTTATTAACTTTTCGATTCAGTTCCGAGTTCAATTTCCGGTAATTCTCATTATTCACTGGATATATTTGTTCGACTCATTATTAGATTGCTATAATATGCGTATCAAACAATGAAATAAAAGATACATTAAATACTCTTATAGCTATTGTGTATAGACCTCAGTCACTTAGAAATTAAGTGTAAGTGTGGCGAATGTGAACAACGTAAATTTTGCAAATTTTTTGTTTTTTTTTTGTGCTCGAGCACGTGGTTCCACGTGGTGGTAGAAGCAGAACACAGAGTTCGCGACATTTCAGTCTCATAAAAAAAAATTTTTTTTATATTAACAAAATTAAAAAAAAACTGTTATTTTCTTTAAAATAATTAATTACTCAATAATGATATACAACACACACATGCAGACTATGTAATAATGTCAGTACTAGCAATGTAAATAAAAGCAAGATAAACTTAGATTATGTAATCTTTACGCTATAATTATAAATATATGTTATTATAATGCATTTTAGAATATTCTAAAAAAGAAAGAATTATTATCCTCCATATTTTTTGTCTTCTTTTAGAGATAAAATATGACAACCCACAATCAATTTATATATTGCGAGAGTTGTAGTCGATATCCCTATGTCGGCAGAGTATCCGTAGGAGAAGAGGATAGGGTTGACTTCATCTATCAATTTGTGAAGAAAAGATTTCTTACTTCCGCGAACAGCCGGAATGTTAGCATATTCCGTACTGCCCCTGACATAATTGGGCCACCCAAATTTCAAAATTACGGACAACTATTTCATTTACCAATCTTTTTTGGAGGTTGCTTGGTATGTGTATTTTCTTGTACTATTTCTGTTATAGTCCTGTAATCGCTATATATGTTACAAGATTTTCTACTATTTGACAATTTTGATTTTCTAATATAGAGGAAGGATGATGCCGATATTTCAATATCTCAGTGGCAAAACAAAGATTCCATAAGAACCATTACTGATCTTATTGCAATCAATTTATGTCAAACGACGAGCGAAAATAAATATATTGGTATGTAATACCTGAATTGATAAATATAAAATATTGTTAGAAAAGATACGCTTTTGTTGAGAAGAGAGCATAATTATATTTTCTATTTTGAAGATATTGAGTTTCATGAAGCTGTATATCCAATCAGAGTCTGTATTTACGAATTATATAATCCAGGAAGCGTAATTCAAATTTGCGCTCAAGATTCTAATAATCAGTGGATTCAGTTGTGGGATGGATCGTCTCAGATTGTACCCCCGAAATCAAGATTATTTTCTCCACCCTTATCGCATCCGTGCTACTTTAAAACCAAAATGCTCAGACTATTTTTTAAAGACAATTCACCTGTCTCTTACACACAGCTAGATGCTGTGATGTTTATCGGAACATCAGAATTGATCTTTTCTAGAAATCCTAACGAGAATTTAACTAATCTGTTAAAAAGAATAAACAGCATGTACTCTCCTCACCATGACGATGTTCATAATTTAACAGCAGATTTGAAAAGTGCACACTTGGATATAGTTCATCTGCAAAGAAATTTACCTGAATATTGTGTTATTTCTAACAGGTATTACTATCGTACATCAGGGAATATTTAAATCCTTTTTTTCTGTTAATAATGAAAATCAATTTGTTTCAATGACATTTGTAGCAAAATAAACAAGATTACTTATAAAAGTAATTTGAAGCGCAAAAGGGCATCTCAAGAATTAAATAATCATTCCAATTGTGTAAACAGTATGAAACTCTCTTCGGACGAATCCAAAGAGTTATCACCTTGCAGTTTATCGGCGCATGTTGCAAGTAGTTGCAGCTTATCGGCGCTTCCTGTAAAATATTATAACAAATCTATTTTTTTATAATAATATTTATTGTAATGTTATTTCGTGTATTAAAGTTTTATATTTTATTTTTGTAAGATGAAGTACTACTAATAATATTAAAAAATTTAGATCTGACAACGTTATGCAGCATGAGTCATGTAGATGAACGCTTCAAAAATTTAACACAGGACCCTGAACTCTATACACGTTTGAATATGCGATGTGTAACTGACAAAATTACAAGCATTGAATTTCATGGCTTGACAGCTATATTTAAATATTTACGACAGTTAGATCTTACAGCAAGCAACTTTGATGTTACGGATTTTATAAACTTTCTTCATAATTGCGGCAGGCGTTTAACGCACTTAAGATTAAATGACTGCAAATCTGTTAATAGTCGTGCTCTACTTGAAATTTCAGAGATATGCAAAAATTTAAAAGGTATGCATGTATGTATATATATGTATATTGTATATGTAGATTGTCATGATTACGGGTAAATTGCATATATTCAAACATATTTTATTTTTAGAATTGGATCTATGTCGTTGTTATCGCGTAAACAACAAAGGATTTTCATATCTCGAGAGGCTAAATGGTTTGGAACATTTAGACCTTTGTGGTACATTTATAAAAACTAAACATCTTTGCAAAATACTGCAAAAAAATCAAGAGATGCGTGAATTACACTTGGTACATACGAGCGGTTTAAACATAAACGCAGTTGTAATAGAGTTAAGAAATTCGTGTCACAACTTGGAAGTAATAAGTTTATTAAGAGGTCTTACATCGCAGGGTTTAAACGCTCTCGCTGACTGTAAGAATTTACGAAAAGTGACATTTGGCCTTTACAAGTATGTCTTTTAATTTTCTTTTAAAATACATTTACCGTATTTTTTTCCAAATTTGTATATGTTTGCTTCTCTTGCATCGCAAGTATCTTGAAAAAGTTGCATTAATTTCCTCTTTGCGATTAAAGTATTGTGATAATTATATAATTTTTTGTTACAGATCAAAGAAAACCCTAATCACTGATAGCTTGAACAGATTACTTTCTTCCTGTGAACGTCTGGAAGAACTTTTTTTTTTATGTGGTGTCCTTACTGATCGCAATTTGGAATTGCTAGCGCAGTGCAAAAATTTAAAAAAGTTATATCTTGCAAATGTGGTTTATGGTAGACCTGATAAATTTTCCATCATTTTCGAACAATGTCCTAAACTGCAAGAGTTTTATCTCGACATAATGTGTAAAATTAACGATGGCTTATTTCATGATTGGAAAAAAAGATATCCACATGTGACGGTCTATACGTGTTATTGAGATGAATTTGGAATTGACAACACGATGCTTTTAAAATCTTGGATTAATGTGCATACTTTTTTACATTGTGCCAGTTAGTCGAGAAATAAAATAATATTTTGGTGTTATTGAGCTCTCTAAATCTCGGGTACTCGCAATTTGTCCGTTCGCGTGAAGGTATCAAGTGACACGGCGCTCGCGCTGCGCGTGTACTTGGCGCGAGACACTACAGTGTCACTTGATATTAGAAAATATATAGATAATTTTGAATAAAATTTTATATATAATTAGTATAGCATTCAAAGCATATTGATCTGCCGACTTCAATTCGATCATCTTCATATATAATCTAAATGCTCATGTAACATTTGTCTCCCACATTGCTATTATCTACCGCAATTGATCTATTTTGATCTTGGTAAACATTGTCGAATGGCATTCAAACCGGACACAGCAATCTACGATAAATTTAAATTTAATAATCAATACAAATTTTTTTTAATTTTAATGAAAAGATAAATTATTTAATATTTGTATTACCTTCAGCGTTCCAATTTGTCTGTTTCGATTATCCTTAATCGGCAATAATACATGTTTACATTCATCACCAAGCGCGTATTTTTTTATATTGAAAATTGCATAACTAGAAGGACAAAGTAAAAAGCCAGTTATCAAATATTATATCTCAAAAAAAAATCTTATAAAATCATTAAATTAAAGATTATTTATCGTATTCAAAGGAAAAATACGAATTAGTAATATTGATTTTTATATAATTGCTATAACGTTGTAAAAATTTAAAATAAAATAAGTCGTTATACTCACCCGACCTCCTCGCACTCTTTAACTTCTCTTTCCTCGGGTAATGGTTCGCTAAGAACAGTAAAATTGATGTTTGGACTTATAGTTTCAGCCAACATGGCGCGCAAATTATCTCTTTGTAGGGGATGTGTCACTTCATTAATCCAAAATTCTAAAATAACGAAACTATTTTGTACTTATTTATGCTGCACGATTTCTAAATAATATACAATTTTTCTCGTTTATTATAATTTACATCATATTTAAAAACGTGTCTTTTTATTAGCGGTCAAGAAAATATTTGCTGTTTACATACATATAAAAAAGAAATATACTTTTCTTATAATTGTAGATCATTTCTTGACCGCCCGTTTTTGATTTCTCCACAGAGACAGTCTCCATATCTTCGCCGCGATTCCCGAGGAAAGAATATTCTACGTAAAGCAAATGTATCTCATCATCCTGCATAACGCAACTCTCGTCCAAAAGCTGCATGCTCACTATTTCTATAATTATTGCATCCTTTTCGTGGCGCTGAAAAAGACGTGTACGAATCAGAACTGCATTAAATTACTTTATGAACAATATCACGTACATTATAAAGTTTCTTTTAGTAAAAATTATAATTAATATTTTTAGATATACTTCTCCATCTCAGAAACGTGCTGGTGTACAATGGGCTAACTCATATATATTATTAAGACGCTGCTGATCGTAAAGTACGACGGTTTAATGTAATAACAATATATTTTTCCATAAATTTATGAATAATCTCCCTTTAACAAAAATTCCATTAACTTATTTTTTACATTTTAATTTTTTGCATTAAACAATAAAATCGGAAATTTGTATATTTAATCGGATGTTAAAAATATTAAAGTTTGAAGCTTAATTTGTTGTAACCATTTAGCTTTCGTCGTTAAGTAGACAATATAAAATATATTCGGTATAGCATTATCACGGGAAATTTATGTTTGTAATCCAGCACTCTTCGTGGAGGATCTTAAGTATAACTAATGGAGCAATCTCGTACGCAAGTAAAGATGTCATTTCGGTAATCCTGCGCTTCCACGTTTAACGAATTAGCTCCTGCAAGTGTTTTTGGACGACTAAATTCAGTACCGAGCTATTCAATCAACATATATAAATGCAGACGTATAATTAATTACTAAGTGTACTGGCAAAAGCAGTCAGCAGACTCTTCTGCTTGTATCTCTCCCAATTTCTGTCCGAAAGAACCTCGTTCATGTCGCAGATTGTGTTGCTTGATCCTTCGGACAACGAAATGCCCTGAACATGTCCGCAATCTCGATAATTTCCAGATAAAACTAGAGCTTTCGCTATTTCTCATACAATCGCGAGAGTTTTCCGTAACATTGCTAAATGTATCTTACATTCGCGATTAATGTCCTGAACTCCGCCATGCTCGACGAATCCCTCAAATCGTTATTTTCCTTTTTCTCGTTATTATTCGCTTCGGAATCTGGACTGATTAAAATTATTTATAAAATTTTTTTTAAGTTGCAAAATTAGGTTCTGCAAGCAGTTTAGATAGCGTGAGAAAGCACGACATTATAGTGTGAGGAAGAAATCTTACCTTCTTGCTGTAATCGTTCTATCGTCTTTAGATATTTTACTCGTCTTGTTGGTAGGCGAAAATGATTCTTCATTATTCGAGTTAACGTAATAATTGTCGTCATCCGAGTTTTCAGTCTCGTATTGAAAATCTGTGGTTTTGACAACGTAACGTTGATTAAGAGTTCTTTCAATAGGTGCAATCAATACGTCTTAATTAGTGAATTAAATTGGACGTAGAGAATATTCATACGATTGATTATATAAAATAACACACACGATCCCAATCGATTTAATCATGTACAAAAAAATACAATCTGATAAATCTCAATCAAATTCTAATCAAGTATTTTAATTACGATCATATAATCCCTCGTGATAAAATTTCTCATATTTTCTCAGAAATTTTTTAAGAATTTCTCATATTTTGGATTTATGAAAAATTCTGAAAAAATATGTCAACTCTTTCGCAGATACTTTCAGAAATAATTGGATAAAAGTTTTTGCAATATTTCATTATCCATGTATGAAAATTTCTGATAAATTGCACGGATTTTTTCATATTTATTCAGATTTCTACAAAGATATGTTAGCGGAAAAAATCTGAAATATATGATTATATTTTGTCTGAGTTTTTCCGAAAAATATTCCAATTCGTATAAAAAATTTGAGAAAATCTTAAAATTCTGAGAAAGTTTTAAAACTTTTATAAAAATTCTGATTAATAATATGAAAAATTCTGAGACATTTTTCCAGGGATGTTACTTGAATCTAATGGCGGTTGGATATCTTGATCCGTTGAATCTTCGGACACCGAATTATCCCTTTGTTCCTGATCCTTGAACGACACCACGTCAACGACGTGTCTCGTGGGGCGTCGAGGAAGTGGTTTCTGAGGTATATCTTCTTCCTCCTTTTTTACTGACGGCGTATAAAGAGTATCTTTTAACGAGCTTATGCCGCATTGTTTTTTAAAATCTTCGACCATGTCGACGTTGCAGCTCAACCGGACCCACAACGACAGTTGGCCGAAATTGACGCCGAAGAAGGAAGAAATGACACTGTTCACAGGAACGATATAATGCAACTTGTTCTGCGGATAATCTAAGATGTCCTTGATGGAGACCTTTGCTCGGGCGAGCGTGTAACTGGTACCGTCTTGGCGAACAATGTTCACTCGGAATATGAGATACTCCGACAGCACGTTCTTGAAGAAGGAGAAGAGATCCGTTATGCGATACACGGAGGATGAGTTGAAGATCAAATTGGGGCACTTCATTCTCGGTGTGTAAGCTGTCTTCTCGCCCCAAATGTCCCAGCTTACGTAAATGTGAAGACTACATATATCTTCTTCGTCCGGTATTTTCGCGACCTAATGATCTCAAGTACAACAAAATCATGTTCTTCACTTGAAAAAATAAATGGGAGATTGTACTATTATATATTTCAATATATATAATCGATGAAAAATAATCTGGTTTTTAATTTCTTCGTGGAGATATCGAAACATAATTTGTTTCATAGGAAAGAGCAGTTAACGTCAGATAATTAATAAATATCCACATAAATTGAAATTTTAGAATAGGAAATAAAATAATTAACTATATAAGAGTTTATTATTTTATTTTGTATACATGTATATGCGAAATGTATGCAATATACTAACCGATGTAGAAAGTTGCAATCGCGAAATGTGAATCTCAATGAGACCTTGCCTGTCAGTAATCAATAAAGGAAAGGACTCTGTTGAGCACACCGGTAACTTCTCGCTGTCGGTCAAACATTTGATTCTGCAAGGCAACTTAAGCTTCTCTTGCACAAAGAGTGGATCTTTCGTTTTGCGCAAGTGACACATTAAATTACACCTGGGATAACGCGGCGATTTTAATCTTTTCAGCTTTATCATCTTTTCTGCCTAAATAAAAATCATTGGCGTTACGCTACAGTTTAATGTCTCATGAGAAATTATGATAGTTGCTTACGCAGAAATCTTTACTAATGTCTCGATAAGATGATTTTCTGTACTTCTCGTGAGTCACAGGAAAGGAAGTAGCATCGAATGTGTCTTTCATCGAGATACCGTCATCTCTCGTTAAAATGGTTGCAGATTTCTTTTTGCATGTAAAATCGCAATTCTTGGAGAAACTGGCGGTTGATTGGAGGGAACAGTTCATACAACAATAATCGGATTCTAAATTCGCATAACAATTTATTAAAAACAAAATTATTACGGGTATAATCGCTCGTTTTCGTACTTTTGCCGATGCATTTATTCGTGTTTGTAAAAAGATGTCAGATCGCCGTTATATGATTATCATTACCGAGATCATTCGTTGTTCCTGCACTAAAATCACGTTGCTTAATATCGCGAGTAGTTATTGTAGGAAAATCGTTGTTGTTGTTGTTGATATCAATTAACGAATCCCCGATCGCAGATGCTTGATGACTCGGAGATAGTTTTTCATCGACATCAGTAAACAATAAAAGTTCTTGCAAAACGTCGAATAAAACCAGAAACATTTGACCTAGTGTTATATTCGAATTCTTCAAATATGCAAGTCTTTTCTGTGAATTCTTCTGTACAGAGTTTGACGCATCACGTTGAGATATTTCCCGATCGCTGTAATAGATACTAGTGATGATATTGTGACACTCTAAATCTTTTAATTTTTAATAGTGTTGAAAGATATATAAGACAAAATAAGATTGAGTACAAAATCGTGGTAGAATATCACATGTACATATACAAAAAGTTGTTACAACCATATGCTTATTTAAATAAATAGAATATATAAAATATATATACATATATATATATATATATATATATATATATTATATATATATGTCTTATAATATCGAGAAATTCGTAGATTTTTGAACACACAAGGTTTTTCATTATGCACAAGTTATTGATTTAATCTGCGACACAAGGAATACAAAATATAAAATACTAATTACAATCATTGAATTAAGGGAATATGTAAAAAGTCCCTGATTAAAAAACAAACATATGCTCACAATATACGCACACATACATATGTACACAAGAGCATTGACACAATATTTAATCAATTTTCTTACTAGACATTTGTACTGTATAAGAATATAAATGCTATATAAAATATATAGCATTATAATAATGCTTTATAAAATATATATTTATTGTTAATACCGAACGGTAGAATCTTTGTCAACAATTAGAATCACCGAACAGTAGCTTCTCGAGAGGTACGACTTGCCTGTGCCTCTGAGCTACGTCCAAAATGCCTGCGTATTCTTCTTTCGGCGTGATCCTCGACGCATCCAGAGGAGTGTTAATTTGTGCCTGATCCAATAGCTTTAGTATTTTTTCTCGGGATAAAACACTCGTGCCGTTTGCTTCCTGATTCGTCTTCCATTCCTTCAATGGTGACTGCAATCTCGCCTTGTCTTCATTATTCGAAATTATCATTGTACCCTGCTCCCTTGTGCTAGTAATGACAATGGTCTGTACTGATTTATCCGCCGATTGCCAATCTTCTCGAGTGTTGCCAACAGTTTTCTCTAACTGCACAATTTTATCGTACATTTCGCAACATTTTCTGCATTGTTCCGTGTATGATGGTACTATTATTGTAGAATCGCGCTTTTTAACTTGCGTATGTAAAAACTGAAAATATTACAAAACTGAGAATTAGTCCAGCGTTAAACAATTTCTAAAATATATACAACAAATATGTACTAACCGCTAGTTGTACCGTCAAGGTATCAATGTTAGTCTGCAATTCTTGTAGTTTCGCGAGCAATCGCTCATTAGTAGCCTTTAATGCCACAATGTTAGTTTGCTCGTTGTTGAATGCAGTCTTCAAGGTCTGTTGCTCTTGAGCGTCGTCGCAAAGCTTTTTTTTCAATTCCATATTCTCCAATTCGACTTGTCCGTATTTCGAGGTGAGCGAAATAAGTTCGTTATTATGTTGTTGCAATATTTTAATTTCATTCGTAAGATCTCGTATCTGCTCGTCCTTTTCGCGTAACGTGAACTGTGAATTCTTTGCCTTCAACATCTGGTCGTCAATCTCGGCTATGCGCGTTCTCTCTGAGGAAAGAACGGCTGCGATTTCCTGACTGTTTCTAATAAAATAATACATTTTTAAATTAGAAACACACTATATTGAATAATTCTTATAATAACTAAATTATAAATATATATTAAACAATTTATATCTATAAAAATAAAATGTTATATATGTATATAAAGATCAGAAATCTTGACCAATAATAAGTATACCTCGTCGTTTGTTCGAGGGTCGTCTTCAAGTCATTAATTTCGGTGGTCAGTGTGGCGTTTTTCTCCTGAGTCGTCATTAATTTATCGTTCAGCTGCTTCATTTGTCGCCACACTCGTATATATTCTACATTTTCCGCCACCTTCTCCTTTTGATTATTGGTCAAATGTGCCAGCTCTTTTTCCAGTTCCATTATACGACACGCCATATCTTTCTTCTGCGCCTCCAGTTTCTGCGAACAAAAGTTGAACGCTAAGTAGAGATTATGGCTAATATTAGTAACGAACAAGCCTGCATATTTGTGAAGTTGTGTGATCGCCCACTCGTGATATAAAATCGTGCAAAGGAGCTTATGCAATAATATTTTACATCATCCTGCAAACTTTATTTTGCTCCGTCACACACGAAATATAACATCGATTGTGCTGTGCGAATGAAATGGATAGGATACAATATAGAGTTGAACGTGTGCAAATATCTGAAATTTATTCGAGCTGATTTTACCTCGATTTTAACGAGGTAATTTCGCATGTCGTTATCATCGTCCCCTGCCCCGACGATGCACTGACAGGACGGTGCTCTCACGCGGTTATTCTCGCTTCGACACGTCCTAAAGGGAGCCGATTCAGTATTTCAATGCGCCGCGACGTAATGAGTCATAGTGCATACGTGTAGCACACATATATACTTACACAAGCCCGGAAGACGATGGTCTAACGAGATTACGGCTGCGCGACGACGACCTGCCGCTCATCGTGTGACTCAACAATTGATTTCTCATCACGGCGATTTTCTCCTTCAGCTGAAACGTTTAACAATATTTAACAATATCTCGGAATATCTATTTTAAAATTAAATTTATGATCACATAATCTTCTGCATGCATTAATAATATCTACGTTAGAAATAATACGATGAAATATAAAAAAACGTCGTTCTTCCGAATTCAAGATCCTGCGTTATCATATCGTGATACGAGGAAGAAAGAATCGCTGTTACTCGAGATCTACCTTGATATTTTCAAGCTCCAGGGCGGCCGTTCTATTTCTATCGTCGGCAATATCTAATGCTACTCCACACGATCTTGGATTACTAGCCAGCCTAATCAGCTTCGTCCCGAGCCGCTTGATCTTATCCTCCTGGCAGTTGGACAATTTCTTCAGATTGCTCGCCTCCTCGAGTAAACGCAGATACTTGTCTTCCAGCTGATAGCGATCAAGCTTACAAACGAGATGACGTTCCCTAGGGTCTGCCGATATTTAAAATGTTATTCACACATGCATTTTTGCACATCATTGCACGCGAAAGTAAATAGGAAATTTGTGCAATAATGTTAATTGTTTATCGATTTCAATTTTCTAGAATATCATGCTAGGAGAAATTTATATGTTTTTGCGTTTGAAGCATAGAAAATGTAGCTGCAAATTATAGAGGAGCGTCTAATAGTTGGCCGTAAATTAATAAATAATAAATTAATTTAATTAATTAATTATTAATTAATTTAGTTAATTTATTAAATATCCAACTGCAGCTACAGCAGATACAAATGAATGGATACAAACCTATGGCACTGACGATTGTGTCCACGCAGGAGCCTTCTCTTACGGGCAAAATGTCACGATTTGGATCGTCTGCCATTTTCAATCGAAATTCCGACGTCTTAGACCTGACGAAGAGTAGTCTCTAAAACCTTCGAGACGATTAGCACGCGAACGCTGAAAATTCGACACGTAATTAACGCTATTTGTTCGCGAGCTGCGACAAACGAATCAAAGGGATATAATTATGGCAAGAGACAGCGCGAAACAAATAGAAGAGCGATCCTTTTATTAGATGATCCGCCATTGCCTCTTAATTACGCGATCCGCGTTACATTTATAAAAGTAATATCCTTCAAGCTGCTTTCGCCGGGACAACGATTATTCCAATTATCTCCAATCATTTGCACGAGAGTAATTAAACATATCTGTCGATTTTGTTCCATTACTGATTTACGGACGAGAGAGTTCGAGTGATCGACAACGCACCGCGATTCCACGCTAATTTCGGTTCATAATAAACGATTTGTCAGCGATATCAAAAAAATGTTGTCGTTGTCAAAAAAAATCACGTGCCGTTGATATTCTCTTTCGTGCGAAAAGATTTTGACGGGAATATACCAGGTGGCGTTCGCATAAGTTACATGCAAATCGCAGAAATAAATGGTAATTATAGAAACCCTACGTCTTGCAGTTATTGTGTGTTATTTTTTCTTATTTTTTTTCATTATTATTGTGCGTGCCAATTTTTCTCAAACCTCACTTTTTTATTAAAAAAAAAAGCAAAAATGATCCTTTTAATTATTTTTTAATACTTCTCATTGTTTTTCTTGTATGTATATTGTAAGAATGATATACCTACCTCAAAAAGCAAAGTTTTCCAGAAAAATGAGTTTGAATGTTTTAAATCATAAAAATTTTGTAATATTATTTTTAAATTTAATTTTTCGTGTAATAAATTGATTGTACAGGAATAAGAGTATCTATAGCATATATATCGGCTCTTCGTTCAGTGTATTAAATTGTTATCATTCCTTTGCAAGCAACTCAAAAATCGCAGTTTTTGAGTTGTGTCGTTATTGCAGCAATTATTTTTAGAAATGACGTTACATTATTTTTATTATGTTACTCCGTTTCCTGCATCTACAAATGACAAGATAATGAGCGATTCTTATGAGAAGAACTATACCGGGCGTAACGCGAGTGACAATAATTTATATATCGCCGGTTATCGCTCCCGCTGCCAGATTTAAGATTAAACGTTGCGCACTATCTGCGACGGAACTGCGTATGTTTCGCCCCGTCTCCGCGTACGAGGAACTTTTCCAAAGCTGTGATTCATCCTCGCTCGATATGAATCATCTCCGCACACGGAGCTTCGAAAGTAGCGGAGAAGATACAAAAAAAATAACAGAAGAATAAGGATTTAGCTTTACGATAGGGGAGAAAGTTAGGAAAGAACGCGCAGCTTATTCCGAGGGAAGGGGAGGATTATACCTAGGAAAAAATTTCATACATATTAGAATATGTCTATATATTTTTTTTTTCTTTCTCTTGTACAATCTCTGTTTATATATGTAAGAAAAATAAAAAGAAGAATAATTGAAAAATAATTAGAAAAATAACTTGGATTTTTTACAAAAAATCAAAGTTGCAATTAGATATTAGACAATATTCTACATATGTAATTATATACAATCGTATTTCATATTATACGATTATTTTACATAAATATATATATGTGTGTGTGTGTGTGTGTATGTACAGGCAATTTTTCTCATTTTTCAAAATCTCACTTTTTTGTAAAAAAAAAAAAAAACCAATGGAGTTTTAAATTTAGCCTTCTAATTTAGCCTTTTAAATTAAATTCTCAGTCTTAAATTTAATTGATTTTTTAGCGTAACGCCGTTCAAAAACCATCTATTAATCTCGGCGGGACACTTTTCGAAAAAGCATAGCGTCATTTCCATGAGGAAACGCGAACGAGCGGACGGACGTCGACGTCGCAAACGTCAAACGAAGAAAGAGTATATTACATATATCGAAACGTATGACAGAAAAAATCGAATTTGCGGAAACTGCTGTGAGAAAAAAAAAGAGGGGAAAAATGAAGAAGGGAAGCCATTGCACAGATACGCGCGCTACGGCAATTTGGTCGACTCGTGCCACCCGGTACATCGGCATCTTCGCGAGCGGCGCGGCGCCACGAGGTGCGGTGTCAAAATCCGGAGAGACCAAGCATAACCTAACCTGACCCCGTCCGTGACCACCGCACCGTACCCTCGCTTTTGACATCGGCGGCGGCGGCGGCGGAGGAAGCGGCGGTGGCGGTGGCGAGTGGCGACTGGCGACGGCGGAGTGGCGGAGTGCGCGACCGTGCGCTCAGCGCTGTGCGTGCCAGTGGCAAAGGTAAGATGGCGGCGGACGGAGATGCGGTGATTCCGGACCAGGAAAAAGTGCGAATAGTCTCGGATTTTATATTGCACTCGCCGCCGGGCGAGTTCAACGAGGTGTTCAACGACGTGAGAGTCCTGCTGAACAACGACAATCTGTTGAAGGAGGGCGCGTCCGGCGCTTTCGCTCAGTACAACAAGGACCAGCTCACGCCTGTTAAGGTACAAACATCATCATCATTATCCGTCATCGTCGTGCTCGTCGTCGTCACCACAGGCGGCCGCCGACGGTGCCGCCGATACCGTTTCCCCGCGCGGGGCTTCCTTGAATTCCTTTTCTCGCCCGGACTCGCAGTGAACGCACCTCGCGGTCCTTGGCGCCCTTTCACGCGTTCGCCCCCTTTTCATTTTCAATTGTGTGTGTATCGATTCCGAGGGCCCGCGAGGTGCGATCACGGTGACCTTACACGCTCTATCTCTGAGCCGGCTCACGTTATCGGACCCTCTCCCCTCTCTGAGAATCCGGGTGACGTCCCCGGCGTTCTCGCACCGGCTCGAGAATGCCCGACACCCTCGCGGCAGGTTATAGCAATTTTGCCCTAGCTGGAAACCGCGTGCTTGCACCGCTGTCTATTTCCTAATAATGAGCGAAGACCGTCTCCTCTCGTTTCTATTTTACGGTGGAACGCTACCTTGATCATCTGTTTATTTTGGAAACTGTTATCATTCAGTCGAAGTTAGGCATTGCTTATGCTAGGATGCCATTCGCAGTGTCTTTTTTTACCTCGTACTGCGAATAACTTATTTTACACTAGAGAAAATTTTAGATTTATGTATCTGTATTATGATATCTGTCTCTTCTTCTATCTAGTTGTGATAAATGTGTGCAAAATTATAGATCCTAGTATAATATATTAAGTAGCATAAGAAACCATAGGAAATTTTGCATATTAGCTAATTAGCAGAGAAAAGATAGGTGTGTAAGATAAACAATTAAAAGTAAAGTAATTAAAGTAAGTACTAAAGTAACAATTAAAACCCTGTCCTTTTCGCTTCATCGGCAGATAGAGGGAAGTGAGCACCCAGCGCTTATAACGGAACACAATGACTTGGGTTCTCAGAGGTTTTACGACGGACGGAGTAAGCAAAGTTTTAAATATGATCATCTGAGGAAGGAGGCGCAAGACTATGAACCTTATGAGCCAGATCCCATAGCGGAGCCCTGGAGGTCAGCCCTTCAAGAAGAGATAACGAATTATACTCAAAGTCATTACAGACATGGCGCTTGCTCAGTTTTTGGAAAATCCTTTGGAGGTAATTGTTTACGATCGATCGATTGTGTTAAAATAAATCGGAGGACATATCGAGTAACAATTGATTTTTCTGTCGTGTAGGACACGTAACGTTAACGGCGTGCATAGAGGATCATCAGTTTCAACCTAAAAACTTCTGGAACGGGCGCTGGCGTTCAGTGTGGACCGTCAGTTTCACCCCGAATTTGGGTAACGCCGAAATGAGGGGTAGCCTCAAAGTACAAGTACATTATTACGAGGACGGGAATGTACAATTGGTCAGTAGCAAGGACGTGAAGGAGAGCCTGCCGATCTCGAACGAGAAGCAAACGGCGAAGGATTTGATACGGTTTGTCGAAGAATCCGAAAACGATTATCAAACGGCAATTTCTGAGAACTATCAAACGATGTCGGACACCACCTTTAAGGCGCTGCGAAGGCAATTGCCGGTAATGCGAACAAAAATCGACTGGAACAAAATCGTGTCGTACAGTATTGGCAAAGAGCTTAAAAGTCAATAGAAATAGATTTTTTTATATTAAAAGAAATAATTAACAAAAAAAGCGCATTTTGCTGCATGAGTGAAGTCTGGAGGTGTGATGTGCATGGGAGCAAATTATAACATTATTAAATAACGTTTGATCAGAGATATTCGACTCATGCATGCCACTCAAGATTCTTCTCGACTCCGTACTGTATGTTGTTACAAAAAGCAATAAAATAAGGAGGTTAACACTTTTGGCGTTGTCAATTGTCTCAAAAAAATTAATTGTGAAAACATAACTTCTCCAAATAATTCTAAATAAGTTTGTCATAAAGTAACGTAATGTATGGCTTGATTATTTCTACAAACGTGCTAATTATTGTAAAATTGAGAATCAACATCCGACAGTGGAACTTTTGTACAATCATGCTATTTCTTCACTTTAATTTTTTTTCAACCATTTTCCTTAAAACTATATCCGTGATATTCGCATTGTGCAGCATAGTGCAAGATATAATCTTTAACTTTGAATGGACTTGAAAATGATAATAACTATCAAAGTAAAAGATCTATTCACTATTTATAAAAAAAAGGCCCGGTTTTTCATTCTCTGGTTAATTTGTAGTTTAGGCTTAACCTAAAGTTTAAAATAAAAATTGCGTTTTTCAATTCATGGTTGATCATTAAACTAATAGTTTTGTAGTGCTAACTTTTACTATCAGAAAACTTTACTGGTTAACTTCTGGTTTTACTAGAAGATCTTAACCGATCTTATAGCTTTTTTATGCTGAGGTAAACAGAATTTGAGTTTTGTGCATATTATTAACAATATTAACCCTTCGTGGTCACACTATCTACAGTGCCATATAACCTATAAAAAGACCCTTAATGGTCTATAAAGGTTGACGGCACGTTAAATATCCCAAAGAAAAAAACTACTGTTTCAATGGCCACACCGGGGTCAAAACGACCCCAGCGACTTTAATCGGCTGCCGTATTTACAATTTTCATTATTTTGACTTGAGAAAATTACTGAACCTTCTTTAAATGTTGTAAAATCTGTCGCAATATTAATTTTGTTAATGAATTTAATATTAAATATTGAAAAAAATCGTAAAAATTAAGCTTGGAGTTAGTATAATTTTTCTTTGAAAAATTTTTGGAGTCATGCTGACCCCATAGTGACCACAAAGGGTTAATCAACATGGATTTCAACAATTTTGATGTAAACGTTTATAGCAGTAATGAAGAACTTATAAGAGACCTAAAATATTTCGGTGTAAATCGAATTATTTTGATGAATTAGATGATCTCGATTTCTTTTCTAAATTTCAACTATCAAAGCCGACAGTCGAAGGACAGAACAATGTATATAAATTAATATTAATATTTTCTTGTTAATCGCAGTAGCTAGTTTGAGAACTGATATTTCAAGATAAATCCATTGTTATACGTTATAATTATATTTGTTATTATATGTTATAATTCTAATTGTTATTATATATTATAATTGTACTTGTTAACATTATAATTCTCTACAGCAAAAGAATATAATACCTCCGTTATCCATTACTTGCATTTTCGTGGCCAAACTTGCATTTTTTCTTGCTCGCATAGGCTGCGTTCGCTTTGGAAAGCATTACTCTATCTTCTTTCAATATGTAATGAGCAATAAAGATAGACTGACGCTTCAGCACAAAAGCACCCAAAGCAAACGCAGCCATAATAACTATCATTAGCTTATGTGTAACAAATCCTCTGTAATTATTTATGATATTCAATTTATATTCTTTTGTATCGTCTCGATTTCTGCTTTCACAGTTATATAATAGCACTAAAACTTAACTAAAACTTTTATTTTCAACATTATTCTTGATTTATTGTATTTATCTATAGTAAATGTTGCATGAACTATAGATACCTACTATTACATGAACTATAGTTTTGTTTGATTTGTAATACCAACATCAGAAATTTTTTGATGGGCAAAGTTTACCGAAAGTTGATTAACCGATGACAAACAATACATTGAAAAACGCAATATAACAGCTCACCTGAAAGTTAATCTTCAAGTAAAAGCAACCTGACTAGATAAAACCTTCAAATGAAAAACCGGGCCAATGGTAATGGGGATCCTTGTTCTTATGTTAAGTGATTGAACTGAAGTTGAATTCAATGTATTGAATAGCTTGAGATTGTGAGACATAAATAGCGAAAAATAAATTTAAACTATAATCATGTAGTTGTGAAGTAATGAGCAGATAGAGGCAGTTTTTCACAATTGACAAAATTTATAAATCCTTACGAACTTTATCAAAAATATAGTAACATCAGTGATGTCTCATAATTATTTATACAATTTATATAATATATAATTATATTTTACTTATATAACGCTTTTTTTCTCTGGAGGAAATTGTATCTTGTATATTATTATAATATATAAATGAAATTAATACACGATATATTATTCACTGAGGTTATTATCTTATTGATAATCTTGTCATTACAACTACATCAATCTGCTCTAGCACAATTTATCTGTCACTCGATGGTTCACCCTGACTCAAAGCAAAATAATTTTAATTATTTTATTATAGACATATTTCTATCTGAAATATTAAAGACTATGATATGTTGTTTACGTTTTATTGATATAAATTGTATAATTGTGGAACGTGAATAGAACCTGTAAAAAAAAAAACGAAAAATACTACATGATGAAAAAAAAGCATTTTTTTACGGATGTGATGATGTGCGAATAAAGTAGCGAAATTGATAGTTCATGTCAGGTATAAGAAAGACCTTTAGACTGACTCTCATTTTGAAAGGAAGACAAATCTGTAACGCTTAAGTCCTTAGATCACTTAAAGCGACTCGATGACACATCTCGTGCATTTAAAAATTCGGTTTGAATGATATATACGTACATATATCATTTTTATCCGAATTTTATTATATATATATATATATATATATATATATATATATATATATATATATACATATTCTCTGATTATGTTACTTATCGATACAACATGCTGGGGCCATGGGTGATATCAAACGCATAATATATCAAATGTAATACGAAGACATTGGATGTGTCTATCCATGATTTGTCAGCCCGGTACCGAACACCGTTAAGTGTTCATTACCGCATTCAATACATGAAGTACGAGAAAACGAGGAAACATAAACTCTTAACAGATATTGGTGGGCAAGGCCTACTATTTTTATCCAACTTTACATTTCATAAAGGTATAAGTCTATATACATTTTTTGTTAAAATGTATTGTTTTATAATAAGTATGTCTATTATATAATGGATACGTTGCAAAGTTTAATGAACTACCGAATAAAATAAATGTTAATCATTGCGCAACTTGGTTTCCAAATTGAATCGCATTATAGTATAGCCATCGCAAAAAGGATCCGTTTGAGTTCGAAAGCAGAAATGGGAAAAAAAAATCTCTTGGTGCTATTCACCTTACTACACATTACACAGCCAGACATTGTACGCGGAAAACGGAAACTAACAAAGTACATAATATATTGTACATTGTAGAACGTAGCCTATAGCCTGCTGGAGCCTTAATCTATTCACTTTACGTTGGGGAATTTGGGGGTGGGTATATATGGAAATTGGGTCTCGGGGAATATATACGAAGTACGTATGGATAAAAGTACGTCAAATTACCTGTTAGAACGCGAGGCGCGATAACGAAGTTACTCATGTAAATACAATCGCACATATGCTACTTGGAGTCGTTGTTTGTATTACGTATGTAAATTACAAAATGGAGCGTTTTTTGAGGTGTTTCGAATCTTGTCAAAAAATTCTACACGACATAGTTGCCTACGATATTGAGAAAAAAAAAACAACTAGATATTACCTACAATCGAGTGTATCGTAACATAACAAAACGCATGTCCGTATGTAAAAATTTAAACACAAAATACATTTATCAGTTAAATTATGTATTATTGAATGTTATGATTGATTAAATAAAGTGATATGACACTTTATACATGTGCTCTCGAGTCTAAAAATAATTTTTTTTTTTTAGTGGAAATGTATTTTGCATGTAAATTAATTTGGCCATGTATATGCGGATGTACATATTTTCTCGATGAAAAATTAACGGTGTAATATTAGCTTTAGTCTTACATAAAACAAGCAAAGGGTTTACTTAATTATTATAATAGCTACCATTTATATTGTTTATACATATAACATAAATGATTATCATTTTCCTTTTTTTTTTTAGTAAGTTTGTATACAAAGTTCCTGTCAGTATATCAGATTCGTACAGAACACCAAGCTAAAACTAAATTAATGAAATATGTGTATGAAAATGTACATATTTATTAAGATTTAGAGATTTATAAATGTATACTTTACTTATATAACTTTTTCTGTATATCAAGTAAAAGATATGCACATACTATTAGAAGAAAAAAGATACGAATGTCTTCATATTTTAAACTGTCACTACAAATGTGTCACGATGACTAAAATCTAACAGACAATCTCTATATTGTGGCAAATTGATTGTAGTATGTACATACGTAACAATCAATTTCAACATTCTTTTATTGCATATATATATATATATATATATATATATATATATATATATATATCTTCACATACAACCGCCATATCGAGTCATAATTAAACAAGTTTAATTGATGAAGCTGCGTTTCTTTGATACATGGTTTTGTTTGAGAGATATGTGGTTGTTGTTATTATCGCACATAGATTGTTTTTGTAGGTCTACTCACGTAAACAAACGTACTACTGCGAGACGCGTCGGCGTACGATACGAACGTCGCAATCTAAGGAACTTCAACAGAAATACGTACCTCGGTCAAATCGCAATTATTATACTTGGTGAGAGATGCAAAAGGTAAGTATCCTCGGGCACATGATCACACGAGAAGGCGTTGCGAGGCTGCCTCGAGGTAATTTGACGTTTGCGAGCAGCCATCTATGTTTATACACCGGCCGTTGCTTATTCTTCTTTTTATACCACGGCACCTGTCTTCTCTGTGGAGTCCATCAACATACAAGCCCGTATTCATAGTCCGACTGTTACCCTTAGGTCCTGCGCACAATAGAGCACATATTAGGAATAAGAAAAAATATTAAATATTAGGAAATGAAATTGGAAATAATAATTAAACGTAACGCACAATGGAAAAGAATAAAATCTAAGCTGTAAATATGGGAATATTTCTAAATATCCTTAAATATCCCAATATTTAACATTTATCGTAGGAATATTCCTATATTTATATATCCTAATAATATTTAATATTTATTCTTAATTCTTAATATGTGCTTTATTGTGCGCAGGGCCATAGCCTATCAAGTCAATCAAAAATTGGACAAGACTTATCTCTAGGGACTCTACTATCTCTGCTCCGCCGGCTCCGCGCCGTATAATCACCTCAGATTCATTATGACCACCCTATATATTCACCGCCGCCATCTCTGTCTCCGCGACTTCGACGACGAGCGGGATATCTCGCGGAGCGGTGTGTTTACTTCCGTTGGCTCTCGCCTCCTGTGAATGGAACTCGGAGGTTATCGCGCGAGAGATGGCTTACAACTTCCCCGGAGTACCGGCGACCGCTATGCCGCCCATGGGTGAGCGACAACTGATTACTCTAATCGTTTACTCCGTTTACTCCTCCGTTTTTCGCCTCCAAATCGATCTCCTGCATCCCCGTCGTCCTGCATCCCAACGCTGTTTCTTTTTTTCTCTTCCACCAATGATGTGCAATTTGCAGGCATGGGACCAATGGGTCCGTTGGGCCCTATAGCCGGACCACAGAGCTTCATGGAGTTAGCGGGTCAAGGTTTCCCACCGCTGCCACCACCGCCCATACCACTGCCCGGCATGAACGACTCGCCCCTGGAGTTCAGTACGAATAAGAATCAGCCCCCGGTAGTGCGGGAAACGTCGGATGACAGCAGCGACAGAAGGAGCGACAAGAATGACAGTAGAAGGGATCGGGAGAACAGGGACAGTCGTGAGGCGCGAGACAACAACAGAAGGTGACACACCTCCGTTTGTCCTGACCATGCATAAGAAAAGATGACGAATCGCACGAGTAACAATTACAACTTTGTAAAAATCTATCTGCAATTCAAGTTATAGCTTGTGCATTATCTTGCTGAAAGGTCGAGGGGAGAGCGCAGCGACAGACGTGACAGAGACCGGGACAGGCGAGAGGAGAGGAACGACCGAGATCGAAGGGACGATCGAAGAGTCGAGGAGAGAAACAACGGGAATTCCTCTAAGAACAATAGCAATCACGTGAACAACTCCAACAACAACGAAGTTTTGTCTTCGACGAATGCGAGCAACGCTCCGAGCATAGGCACGCAGCAAATGGAACCTGCCGCCGGTGTCTGGGGGATGGGAGTGGGCTATCCCATGATGGGCATGGGTCCCATGGGACCGATGGGGCCCATGATGGGCGAGATGGCACTGGGTCCGCACATGAGTCACACGCACGGTTACAATCCGATGGGCATGGGTATGATGTCGCACGACGGCAGTATGATAGGGGCGCAGATATTGGGCGCCGAGCAGATCATGACGGACGCGGCGCAAATAATGACCGCGAGCTTACCGCCGCCGCCGATGATGCCTCAGGGTACCAAAGAGATCATACACTGTAAGAGTTGCGTGTTGTTTCCACCGAATCCGAACGCCCCACCGCCTACTACGCGAGAGAGACCACCGGGATGTCGAACAATTTTCGTGGGAGGTAAGCATTGCGCCGAATGATACTCGAGAATGTATGTACGTCTTTACGTAATCGCACTTACCTGCGCAGGGTTGCCGGAGAATATTACCGAAGCCATAATACAGGAAATATTCGAACGGTGTGGGGAGATAACTACTTTGCGTCTTTCCAAGAAGAATTTCTGCCATATACGTTTCGTCTTGGAAGCTAGCGTCGATGCAGCAATCTATTTATCGGGTTATAGAGTAAGAATAGGATCCAGTGGGGAACCTGCGAATACCGGTAGACTCCATGTAGATTTCGCTCAGGTTTGTATAATTAATATTATATATAATCCAGTTCTATATATATATATATATATAGAACATACATATATATATGTAATCATTAATAATGATTTTAGGCTAGAGACGATCAATATGAATGGGAGTGCAGACAACGACAATTGCAAAGGGAACAACGTCATAGGGAAAGAGTAGAGAAGGAGAGACAAAGGCCGCCGTCAAGTCCGCCTCCGGTAGTGCATTACACGGACCACGAGGCATCGAATATCTGCGAAAAGATTAAACAAGATGATACGTTTATGAAAGCAGTACAAGTGAGCAATCAATTCTAATAAACAATGACACTTTCCAGTTTACTTTCTAATTTCTCTGTATTTCCATAATCCCGTTTTCATAATGTGTATTGTAGATTGTTGTAACGTGGTTGGAACGAGGAGATTGCATCAAACGTAACGCCAATATCTTCTACTCCATGATACAATCGACTAACTCTCACGTTCGACGACTGCTGACGGAGAAGGCCGCTTACGAGGAGGAGTTGCAAAAGGCCAAAGAATTAATGAAAGGAAGAATGCAGGGACTCCTCATACAATGTACGTTTACGCGCTTTCTTATTTTTCTATCTCTTAAGATAGCTCCATACTATCGTACATATTTCGTGTGCGCTAAGAAAATCCGCATTGGCTGGTAAGTTCATTCTCTAGCATAAATAGGCCCAACAACCAATAGAGGAAATCCTTATTTGGATATAGTAAAACGCAACAAAAATCGTGATTATCCCGTTTTTAATCTTAAAGTAACAACAGCGGTATTCGCTGCGTTCTTCACACTGTGTGTATGACGAATCCTTGTACCCACGTATTGAGTTCCGATAAAAAGCAGAGATTTTTCTTATACCAGTTACGAAGGTACGTTACATCGTTACGTGATAATTAAGAATAACGATTCATGACATTAAGGTACACGACAACCGATTGTAATCAGGTATACAAAGCCAAATTCGAATGTTAAGCTTGTCAGTCTCTCGACATATGATATTCCGAAAACCGGCTTTTTTGCATATCAAGTGATACGCTTGATGTAAAACCTACTCTTGATACATATACGACGAAGTATTTCTATCTCGTCACTAACTTTAGCAATCTCTCAAGTGTATCATGGCGAATCCGTCTATGAATTCTGTTTGTGGTCAATGCACGATTGGAGGCGGCTCGGTAGGAAGGATCAGTGATAGTAGGCGAGGATAAGGTGGGTGAAAAAATCCTATCTTCTCTCGGACATAGGATCCAACAAAACCGATGAACGAAGGCGATCTTGTCGCAAATTCTATCTCATAGAGTCATAGTGTACTTGAAAGTTGCATGCTTGGCAATGCTACCGGAGTAAGGGTGATGGGCTCTGGGCATCCAATGTTAAAAGATTATTTTGAACTACGGATCGAAACCTTTATGTAATTCTCTTTATCTCAATGTTCATGTATATGTATTGCATCATACGACGTATTTCAACAATGTACAAGATTGTATTGCTGCTGTTCAAAATAGTCCTTGACATAGGAAGTCCGCGGATTGCAAGTCTTCGGGGTTTACATTATCCGCAGTATGGTGGAAAGGCGAACAATGAGAGCGGAATGTTTGGCGAAACCAACTTTACGTTTAGATTAGATGCGCTCCAACACACTCGGCACAATCTACGTGAGACTCCGTAACTGTATATACGTGCGAAAAACACGCTCCGATTTTATTAAAGGAGGAGATCGAGATACCATTCCCGTTCGAGGAATATCACGATAATAACTAAACGTTAAGCATAACGAGTATATGTAATGAGTTCTAAAAGCATAGACCGAAACTACCGAGCTTAGAGTTTCAAGCAAAAGGTATACCAACGGAGGATTTGTTGTGTTTTTTTGTATGCAACATGCGACCACATGTCATCAACAGTCAGTCAGATCGAACGAGTCTTTACTGCGGCCAGCCACAAGAAGGTCTGGGATCACTTCACTAAGGCGCAGCGGAAGAACATCGAGATGTGGAAGAAACAATCCTCGGTATGTATGTAAATGCACTCTCTCACATGCTGGTAGCGTGTATCTTCTGTATACTTCCTCTTTCTCTTGCGTATAACTTAAAAGCAAATCTCAAAATCTTCTCTCTGTCGCAATATGCTCCTCTGCGCGTTTGCACGATACCTCCGAAACACGCTCGTTTTGCAAATAGTATTTCTAAGGTAACCACAGGTAAGTGACAAATTGAGGAAAGAGTCGAGTCGCCTGCTATATAAAAAAGAAATCGGTCAGACACACGCTTCTCTTCGTGCGTTACAATTCGATACTTTGTCGTGGAATGCCAGTAACAGTATGGCAGATAAATCCTGTCGGCAACACGCACAACATTAAGAACAACATATGGAACAGAAGGTAATAGGAGACTAGCACTTTCGGATCGAAAACCAACTACAGACTATTCAGCATGGATTTGCCTCACTTCTTTTTTGAACAGCGTTATTCGATATATACAATACTTGTTATTTCTGTACTTCAGAGCTGCATCTGCTTCTTATCAATCAGGTAAGCCCAAATCGTTCTGAAAAGACAAACAAAAATCCCAGAAACACTTCCATAAACGAAAACTGAGACGAAATATGTGGTAACGCGCCTAAACTCTGAATTACAGAAATGTACGAAGCTACGTGTACATAAAAAATAAAATTAATACTGTATTAATACATCAACAAGAAAAGGAAAAAACAATTAAACCAGTCATATTTAGGGATGTATTTAAATACTGTTGTTTGAACGGCAAATAGGAAATTACATACTTTGCATGCATTTGTGTGAGAAAGCGACGGCCACAGTTTGGAGCACTTTATAATTTTTACCATTCATAATAAACAGGAAATAAAAGCGGTACAGCTGGAAGACAGTTTGATTGAAGGCGAGGGTGAGATGGATGTGTCGGACTCGGAGGAGGAACCTCAACGTAAGAAAACGCGCAATCAATTAGATGGTAATCAAGAGGACGTCGAAAGACTGCAAAGTCTCAAAGAGGAGAACGACAGTCTGAGATGCCAGTTGGAAGCGTACAAGAACGAAGTATGTATTAAAGCGAATTGATTTGATAATTGCCTCGAGAAATCTCTTTTCGAGAAAAATTTTAATTTACAAATTTTCACAGGTGGATCTCTTGAAATCGGAAACGAAAATCGAGTTGGAGGGGAAGGATAAACAAATGAAGATGCTGCAGCAAACGCTAAAGGGTATGCAGGAACAGCTAATGCAATCACGTAAACAGCAGGCGCAGGACGATCAGAAGATCAAGGATTTGACCGTCAAGCTGAACGCCACGAAGAAGGAAGAGCCTAGGGAGAGTGAGATTATCACGCTCGACAAGGACGACGATATCAGCGAAGAGCCACGCACACCGAAGCAACACATTCTTACCTCTAGTTTTGTGCAAGTGACCCAGAAGGATGCCAAGCTTATTGGTAATTAAAAATTTAAGAAACAATTCAGAGAATGACTTTAAAGACAATTTTATAATATTAACTTTATAATACAATAACATGTTGCAGGACTTATAGCGACGTTTCTGCACATCCACCCGTTCGGTGCAAGCGTGGATTATTTATGGTCCTACTTGCAGAAAATGGAGCCTGGCATTAAACCGAACGAAGTTGAAGTTTTAATGCAGCGTTTTCCACAGGTCTTCAAACAGGAATTGTTCGGCATCGGCGCGAATATGGAGAGACGGTGGCAGTTTTCAGGTTTTAACGTTTATCGCAATCATTGAATCTAGACGCCTGAATGTAAAAAAAGAAACTGAAAGTACATTTGTCTCGTTGTCTCTCTCTCTCTTTTTCTCAGCGTTATTGTCCGTGAGTGCGAATCGAGATTTATCCGTGACAAGCGTATTGAAACGATAAAATCTGATGTTGTGAATTAATAAAATATCTCTATCGATTCATAGATATCAATTCACTGCGTTTCAATATTCACTGCCAGTGTATGTGACGTAAACTATAGATTTTCAGTACTGGCAATGAATATCGCAGCCTTAATTTTAAACGATATGAGTATCTTGAAGCTTCTGTTCACTCACTGCAGCCATCTTGGATCAATCTTGGATTGATGACGTCAGAAGCGAGAAAAATATAAAAATTCTTGCAACATACATTAAAATAAAAATGTTTTTCAATAAGATAGCGTTTGTAATTGATAAAATAGACTTGTAAAATACATCGAAAACTCCCCTTTTGTTTGGGTAATCTACATATGTCAAATTGAATTATGCCTAATCAAAGGCAAAAACAAGCCGACAGTTGCCGAATTGAAATAAATATTTCCTTTCATATATAAAATTATAACAAAATGGGAGTCTTCGGTATATTTTAATACGACAATTATTGTAAATATAAAAACTGTACTAGAACGAAAAATAATGTTGTCACAAATTGTATGACAGAGACAACCTGCCCTGATATTTGTTTCTCTCTGCTCGCGCCAACCCAAAACCCAGCCGAGTCAGTACCCTCTCTATACTCCGTCCAACGAGAGAATGGCTGCGTTCAACAGAAAGTTTATTTTGCAACTGTTGGAAGTCTTCTGAGCTCAGATTGGATTATTCTTTTAGATCTAAAAAAATAATCCAATCTGAGCTCAGAAAACTTCCAACAGTTGCAAAATAAACGTTCTGCTGAACGTGGCCATTGAGAGTGGTTCTGCGTATAGGTGGGCAAAGGCAAAGTGGGGAGAGCGTAGCAGCGTAGCGCGCTCGTTATGGGTACGGCACGGCAGCATGGAGGAGGGCTTGATAGGGTCACGTTCTGTTAACGCGCATATGCGCGCATTTTCTATAGTAAACGTTACGTATACCATAGATAAATGCGCGCATATGCGCGTTACGGAACGCAGGGTAGAGGCCTTATGTGAGGGGAGACCTGCGCGAGACGGACGAGTTTTCGTGGGGGCCGGAGGCCGGAGCCATATAAAAAGAAAAGAAAAAAAAGACGAGCTTTCGTTGTTTCATCTGATCTACTCTCAATAGTCTCAATCCCAATCTCTCGTGATCTCTCGCAATCTCTCGTTGGACGGAGTATAGTATACTTATATCTCAGAGGTAACAGCTTGCTTTGCGTACAATAGAGCACATATTAGGAATATGAATAAATATTAAATATGGGATGTATAAATATAGGAATATTCCTGTATTAAATATTAGAGGATAAATGTAGGAACATTCCTATGTTTGTATGTTATAGCGTTTTCGACGGCCGGGTTTCAACCCAACCCGAGTTGGGTTATGACGTCACATGCTTTTCTAGTTGGACGATTCCAGAATGTGACGTCATAACCCAACTCGGGTTGGGTTGAAACTCGGCCCGCTCAAAAACGCTATTAATCTTTACAATTGTGCATTACGTTTAATTATATATATTATTTCTAATTCCGATTCCCTAATATTTAATATGTATTCTTAGGGTCGGTCTCACAGTCTCCGATTAACGTGATTCTCCGATTAAACTCACTCTTCGTCTCTTTCTAGGGGGATAGTTAGAAAGAGATGCAGAGTGAGTTTAATCGGAGAATCACGTTAATCGGAGACTGTGAGACCGGCCCTTATTCCTATTATGTGCACAGAGCCTAAAGGGTATCTATATCCAGACAAATTTGCATAGCGCATAAACATTATGCATAAGAACATTGATTGGTTTTTAAACCAATAAATGTGCAGTGTTCATAAAGAAATGGACTAGTCCATTTCCTTAATGCATCTATACCAAGTTTGTATGAGCATAGGCTCTCTCGCTCTCCTATTTTAAAACTAAAAATTTTCCTAGTAGCTGGTAACTCGCTAGTAACTCGCTTTGTAAATCGATAGTCCTGCTTAAAACTCGGCATAAAGCTGAGAACATGTGATGTGAACAGTCACATGTAGAGCAATATAGAGGTTAGCCGCTGAAGAGTGATACTCTATGATGCTCTAGCTCGGGACGTTCGTGAAGATGCCGTTAAATTACTACGAGGTGCTCGGCTGCAGCGAGGAGTCCACTCAGGAAGAGGTCAAGCGCGCTTACCATCGACGCTTACTGCAGTTTCATCCTGATAAGAACAGCGCCGCGGACGTTCAGGAGTTTCACGACGTCAGGGAAGCCTGGCAGATACTCCGACATCGAGAGTCCAGGAGGAAGTACGATGCAACCTGCAAGCAGGAGCAGTTAGAGGAAGAAGAGGAAGACGGTCCCGTGTACGCGCGTCTCTCACTGGACGACATGGAGGAGTCCGTTTTCGAAGATATGTGGTTCTACCGTTGTCGGTGCGGCGATAAATACTTTGTCGACCGAGATACTCTTCCTGAGAAGGACAGTTTACTTCAAGTGAAGTGCAACGGCTGTACGCTTATCATCATTGTCGAAGTATAGCACGCCGATATTTATATTGGCCACGAAGTTCAACCTTTGATGGCATCTGTAGGCCTTTTTCTTTTTCTTGTTTTTCTTTTCTTTTTTTTTACTGTAAAACACGACTGAACTTCACTTATTTGATCGAATGCAAGCGAGATGATGAGGAGAATGCGTTTTCTACGTTTGATTGTATAGTATGGCGAGATAACACTTACAGCTGTGTAGAAAGAGGTCGAAATCGAATATTTATTTTGTACAAAATATGTTTCTCAGCACAAGAACATGTGTACACTTATAATAAATTTTAAAAAAAGAAAAACATCTAAAATATGCAGCAACATCTTTTTTTCTATTTCTTATTTTAAAAAAATGATACAACAGGTAACACATTCTTATAACATAAACTATTGAGCAATATACAAATAAACACGACACCTAGTCTAACCTAGGTCCAATAATAAAGATGCATTTGCACAGATTGCATTATCCGATAATGTCATTCATGACATGATTCAGTAGAATCCATATAAAATTCATCAGTGACAACTGATGTAATAATCTAAGTCTTCATCGTACGATTCCGCACTAAATGTAAAGATCTGGCTAATACAAATATTCTTCCGTTAGCAAGTCCACTCAATATTGACGAGATCAAAACATTTAATCATAGAAAAACAAAGGCGTATTGTTCTGTTCTGTGTAAGCTTGTATTGGTTCATCGTTCTGTAAAATCTTTGTATTGCACGTGACAAGTGCGCTATATTTGTGCAGACCTGTTCTTTTTAGCTAAACTTCTTGCATGGTTCATCTTTCCTCTTTTTCTTTTCATGTTGGAGAAAAAAAAGGAAAGATTAACACTGTACAAGAGAAGTTTCGCTAAAAAGAACAGGCCTTATATTGCACCAATGGAGTGAAACACGCGACATTGAAGTAGATTTTTTACTGCAAGAAGAAAATATTCTTAACCAAATTTTTTTAGTTTTAATAATTTTGCTTCAATTGCCGAAAAAAACCTTATTCTCCTTCAATAAACGTCAATCGTATGGAAATATTAGCTTATAAATGTTTATAAAAATATTTGTTTTTAACCAGATCGATGTTTATATAGGCAAATAAAGTCTGAAATCATATGATCAGGAAAATATCGAAGCTGACAGTTTGATAAAATCAGTTTGACGGTAATCGGCCGGTTACACAAATGTTCGAAATTTCTCGTAAAAAGATCTGTATGATCCGAATGACGTGTCGTTTTTTCTCGTTTGCCCCAGGAGGTATTGAGATTCTTCGATTAATGTCATTCTGCCTCGCAGTTTCAGTACGTCTCAGTCGCCTCGTTTTCGTCTGCCATCGTTGACAAATGCTCCTAAATGCCCACATAATAAACCTGTTATACTTACAATGAATCTCTCGTTAGGGATGTTTGCTACTTTTGCATCGTCGATGATTCCACTGAATCGTTATAACAGCGAAAATTCAGAAGTACACTGATAAGCTCCTAGTTTTTCGCCCCCTCCCCTCCCACCCTTCCTCCCTCCCTCCTTCCCGTAAGTTTACGAGTCTTATAAATCTTACGTTTGTACACAACGCGCGTGCGCTCCGACAAAAAACGATATAAATGTAATTTTTCGACGGGCACTTTAATCCACCTGGATCATTCGCTACATCTCTCATTTCCTTTTTAGTTTTTTTCCCCTCCCTCCCCCTTCTTTCCCCCTGTAAGAACTTTGCCCGATTTTTACGGCACGTACACAGTCTTATCACAATCACACTATGTAATACATAAATCATTGTACAGCGTAGATTAGTTTTTTAGACTAATTGAAAATATGTACAGAAGTCGTACAAAGAGGGCGATTGGGTCCACGTGGGTGGATCTCACTATTTTACCTCAACGTCGAAGTCGAGGACAAGCAGTTTCGTCTCCTCGGTACCGTTACGACTACCTACTGCACATACTAGTTTCGTATCACTCGCTCGAATCCTCCACACAACACCGCCGCTACCTCCACTTTCCAGAGCAACTAGATTCCTAATGAAATCACCTGCGAACACAACACACAAGTTGGTCTTCGACGATCGACACGCATCGATTTCCGATCAGAAAATTATAGATAAGCGGCGATAAAAAAAAGCACATATACAAACCAGTATTAACATCCCAGAGTTTTACTGTACCATCATCAGAGGACGTAATCACAAAATGGCTATTGAACTGAAGGCAAGTGACCGCTGATTGATGTTTGTTCGGACCGGAGAGAGTTTGAAGGCAGTGACCGCTAACAATGTCCCATACTTTAACGGTGGAATCAGCGTTACCCGATACTAAGATATTATTGCGCAACTCCATCCCCGAAGTGAGAGATTGATGACCCATCAGAGTATGTCTACAAGCACCTGTCTCTACCTCCCACACTCTTATACTCGTGTCCAATGATCCGCTAACAACGTGTACACCATCGAACTAACGGAGAGGAAACGGCAAACGGACACTCGTCAATGTCGAGAGAGAAAGAGAGAGAGATCAAAAGCGATCTAAACAGTACGGTGGCACTTACCTGGAGGGAATAAACGCGATTAGTATGTCCTTGTAAGGTATGAAGGCACTCCTCACGTTCCGGATTCCAAACTTTGACCATATAGTCATAGGCACCACTGACCACCAACTTTCCGTCATATTGCACACATCTGACCGCCGCTAAATGCCCCACGAGCACATGTAAGCACTCCCCTGTGTCCACCTGCCACACTCTTAGTGTCGCGTCTCTACTACCACTGACGACCTTGTTACCGTGCAGATGCATACACCTAACCGTCGACGTGTGACCGTATAATGTATGAATACACTGGCCAGTTTCCGCGTTCCACACTTTCAAAGTACGATCCGTACTACCACTGATAACAATCGTACCGGACATCTGCGAAGACCACACGCCCCCGGTGTGCCCAACCAATGTCCGTAAGCACTGAAACATTGAGAGAAAAAAAAAACACAGGATATACATCATCTCCTCCCTCGTTCATAACTGCCAAATCCCATTATCTTTACGCATTTGCGATTTAGTTTACCTTGCCCGTGACGGCGGACCATACTTTGAGAGTATTGTCATCAGAACCACTAACTATCCGATTACCGGAGAACTGGAGGCATGTAATAACATGGTCGTCGTGACCTTTCAACACTTTCGGAGTGCGGATCGGCTTTGTTCTCCAATTCATTTTAATATTGTGCTGCCGCATGTAAGCCTGCTTCCATGGCGACGAGTTATGGTTCCCGCTCCGACAGTTCTTTCGTTTCGGCGGTGGTAGATCTTTCAAGTCCTCTATACCAGCTGCCTTGCACTTCTCTTTCCAGAGCAGATTGTCATCGGCTAGAAATCGCCAGTTCCGGCAGGTCTGTGCCGCCCTTAGGAGATCCTTCGGCTCCAGGAAGGCCAGTACCGACAACGCCAACTCTTTCGGCAGCAGGGATATGAAGTCTCGCTGAAACTGCGGCTCTATCACCTGCATCATGTGACGCACCTGCGTGGGCTCGCATCTCTCTATTAGTTCGTCTATCGCTAACATCCTTTCTGCGTTTGACCATCTCTGCAACAAATATCGTTTTTTATTGCTTTTTAAAAAGCTCTGAATATAATTGATTATACATTTAATTTTCTCTAATTCTGTCAACATGATTTTTTTGTTACTATTATTTACTATTAGTATTTGGCTTAGGGTCAAAGCACATAACATGGCGTAGCAATATACGACGGTCGTAGTCCCCGATCTGACAGATCAGGATACAAGCTTGTGCGTTACTTACGTCCACGACTACGACTGTCATATGTGCTTTGGCCCTTAGGGCCAAAGCACATAACATGGCGTAGCGATATACGACGGTCGTAGACCCCGACCTGACAGATCAGGATACGCCAAAGCTTGTGCGTTACTTACGTCCACGACTACGACTGTCATATGTGCT